CGATGAGAGTGCGCCCTTGTCTGTTTTTGTTCACCAGTATTCAGATTTCCCAGTCTTTGAAGGGCAGCACCTCTTCGTTTGGCATTTCCAATTCCCTGGTCTGCATGAAGATTTGAGCGCTGGTTTCATTTGTTTGTCTATAGGTTTCTCTTGTGCCTAGAACATGCACATTAAAATATGAATGATTTTTCCCAAATAAGAACCACATTTACAGTCAGAAGTTTATTCGTTTGAGATACAGCAACTTTTCCATCCCACTTCTTTGAATTTTCTTGTCACTGTGGTTGATTGTCAAATTGATGCACTAGCCATTAGAAAAGTGAAGGAAGGTTTAGAAAGGGAAATTTTTGAACTGGCCAGCTTTAGTCCTCCCAACATTCCCCACATCCTCTTCCTCCTAAAATTCTGTTGTTGAATTTAGCCACAAATGTCTAGAGGTGATCAGAAGAAGGAAACATCTCAAGGCTTGGTGCTGCCCTAGGAGCTGGCTCATGGCTACCATTATGGTAAATATAGCCTTGTGTATAGTAGAATATATAAATGTACAATCTACACGACTCTACTGAAATTTGTACCTCATAGAAATGCAGGGCTCTTATCTATTTTGTAATTTGGAATCTATCCGTTGACTGTTAGCATTTCGCTGTCTGTCTGTGGCTGCCAATAAAGCAAGACAACTGTCATTCTTCCTCATCAGAGTATGTCACCCTCAAGAAAAATGGTATAAATGTTTAATAAGCAAGGAATAAAAAAGCATTTCACCTGATAAGAATCATCGAGAGCTGGGGATTTCCCAAATATCCGTTGTTGGAGATACAGCTTGAGGAGGTCTCTTGAGGGCTTGGAAAGCACTGTGTACATGGACAATGACCTTTAACTTTTTACCTGAATACAGAAATTCACATTTACTGTGGCAGAACATCGGGGGAGGCTTGTCCTAAAGAGTGGTTCTTCAACCTTCTGATAAAGGGGCCTGCTAGTGGTCAAATCATTTACAAATGATAGCCAAAAAATCCAATTTTATGGGTGTCACAATCATGCACACGGAGAGGTACAGGTCATCCATTCTGCTCCAAACAACTACATTTTGGTAGTTCTCTTAAACTCCCAAATCAGTCTCCTCCGATTCCCCCCCCCCCCTCATCAGGAATGCGTTTAGTGTACCTTGCTAAGGGGATGTCTATGTCATCCTTTTCCCAAATAAGGCAATAAGCTTGCTGTTGTAAGAAGATACCAATTGATTTTTGGGTAGAAAAGAAACTGTTAGTTCTTGTGTGAGCAGTTAGACAAGTGAGGACGTTGGCTCTGTACCATCGAGCTGACCGAGAGTCTTGTTGTACCACCGCAACTGAGTGCAGGACCAGAAATCCTTTTAAGCTCATCAGAACTGAAACTGCTTAACCCCAGGCATTTATTTGGCAAGTACTTACCTAAACGTCTTTCTGTTATCTGTTGCTGTGCTGTATTGCTCTGTATATTTATATATATATATATATCTTAGTTACATCTTCTCTGTAAATATTTTTATTGCATCTGTTTGACCCTTTTAGTAATAAATCTTTTTTCTAAAAGTGTTGAACTGTTTCTATAGCTCTTAATTGCAATTTACGAATTCCTGCCTTTTGAAGAGATGCTACTGTTGGTTTAAACCTCTGTATAACTGGCCTGCGGACCGTTTTATACAGACGATTATTTCAATCATTATAGTGTTATAACTGATAACGCGAGTTTCCTCTTTCTCTGTATAAAAAAGGAGGTGGTGGCAGTGTAAAAGGGGTTAATTGCATAATTAACCTGACCCAGTAACAACCGCTCAGGTCGCAGGTACATAGATTGTAGTCCATTAGCTGGAAAATCTTTGTGCAGGGTGCGGCTGGGAGTGGTATTGTTACGCACGTTACATCGCGGTTTGGATCGGCCAGTCCTTCGGTCACGAGTTTGGAGAGGGGGTCTGATGCCACGATCGTCACATATTTGGTGGCAGCGGTCATGGGATTGTCGCATGTTGGTGGCGGCGATCTTGCAATCGTGACAATGGGTACTTTGCAAAAAAAAATAAAATACAATTACATGAGAATGCCAAGAGTAAAAATCTAAACAGAAAATTTGCTCTTTTTCCAATGCAAAGTACTTTTAATTAAAACTCAACGTTTTATTTTCTGGATGTTCAGCGAAGTGATAAAAGCACTGGGCTATACCTATTAAAAATATAGAGTATTTGATAAGGTCTTTTGAGTATAGAATGGAGATTTAACAAGAAGCGCTGGATAAATATTTTAGCTCTTTCTGTCAGGTAGTAAATTCTCGCTGTGACACAGATTAGGGAAACTTGCGGTTACTTAGTTCATTCACATCAGTGACTATGCTGAAAGCCTGTACCTCTGCAAGACACATTTTTAAATTCAATTTGGCTCTCTGTGCCCTTGGCACTCAGCGGGTTTCATTAAATTTCACAGCAGTTAGTTTCAATTGCTTGTATGGGTACCTTTTTATCTACATTTAACTCCAGCGTAGTTGTAGATGATTGCGCTTTGTGGGAAATTAATATGCAATAATAATTCTGTTGTCCACTTAGGGTGGGTTTTCTAAGTGTCAATTTCAATACAATTTAGCAATGGTTAAATAGTCAGTTGTGAAATACCCTGCGTGCTAAAGAGAAACTTTTTTCGGTGATGCTGCTTGTACTCTGTATGTAAAGCTAAAACATTTTTGGATGGAAAAAAAAAGATGCAAAATGCAAAGTGTTCTCTGAATGTTTTCCGGCTCCAGGTGACACCAACCCTAGGGACGCCCCTGTGCTTAGGAGATATTCCTTGTCCTTATAGGCAAGCTTTATTATATGCTTACCAGTAGGTACAAGTGTCCAGTGGGAGTTTTACTTCCACTTTAAGAACCCCAAATTCCTGTGCTGCTAGCAATCTACTGGAGAAATTGGAACCATAAAGAAACCTGTATGCTGCGCACTAGTGTAGGCAGGGGTATCAGTAAACATCAAGAATAGGATGTACATGGAAGTTCACTTCCAAAATGCCCATAAATAAATGCCATTTATTCAGCAACCATAGTAAAATGAACCAACCAATTACTTCTGTTGATCTTACTATGGTTGCTGAATAAATGGCATTTATTTATGGGCATTTTGGAAGTGAACTTCCATGTACCTCCTATTCTTGATGTTTACCGATACCCCTGCCTACACTAGTGCGCAGACTACAGGTTTTGTATCTGGTACCAAGCCATCAGTAGCAGATCCTTTCAATCCTGTAAGTTGTGAGGTAGGGCCTTTATGTTTTTCCGGGTGCTCGATGGATTGAGATCTGGAGAATTTGGATGCCAAGTCAACACCTCAAACTCATTGTTGTGTTCCTTAAACCATTCTTGAACCATTTTTGAAGTGTGGCAGGGCTTTTTATCCTGCTGAGAGAGTCCAGTGCCATCAGGGAATATTGTTTTTATGAAGGTGTGTAATTGATCAGCAACAATGTTTAGGTAGGTGATACATGTCAAGTAACATTCACATGAATGGTAGGACCCAAGGCTCCCCAGGAAACCATTGCCCAAATCATCACACTGCCTCTTCCGGCTTGCCTTCTTCCCATACCGCATCCTGGTGCCATCTCTTCCCCAGGTAAGCGACGCACACGCACCTTGCCATCTGCATGATATAAAAGAAAACATGATTCATCAGACCAGACCACCTTCTTTCCTTGCTGTATGGTCCATTTGTGATGCTCGCATCCCCAATGTAGGTGCTTTTGGCTGTAGACACAAGCAAGGGCACCCTGACTGGTCTGCAGCTATGCAGCCCCATGTACAACAAACTGCGATGCCCTTTTTTTTTTTTGCTTTCAAAAAGCTTCAGGAACAACATGTTTACATGCTGCCTAATATATCCCACTTTCTTTCAGATGCCATTGTAACGAAATGATCATTGTTCACTTACCCTGTCATAACCGATCATAAAATTATTGCTGATCAATGTATATCTAAAATATATCAATTCAGAAAATATTAGTGTTTTTTAATAACTATTTGCACAATTGAGGTTTGTATCTGTATAAAATGAATAAGGTTGACGGATCACGCTTCCAAAAGATGTTGTAATGCGATGTGTATGTGTGGGTGGATGCTCTTTCTCATGTATTGTATCTATATGTAATAATATTAAGGCACGCTTGTGAGAGAAGCTCCAGATCAACTGACTGAAGACAATTCAGCTTGACAAATATCCACATGAGCTACAGCTCCGAGGCTTCGCCTTTATTATTCCTGCTGTTACTCACTCACCCGTGTGTTTGGGCTGTTTCCACTATTTAGGGCATTTCCAAATGACATTTACAAATTTTATACTCATTTAATGAGATATTATGAAAAAGCACATTCCTCGCTATGACCTAGCTAAGGAAGTCTGTTTTCCTACATTTTCGTACGAAGAACCATTTCGAAGAGCAAATCTGACACTAGGTACATTAACCTCCCTAGCGGTCTGATTATGTCCATATTTCTGTGCTCAAAGCGGTACATTTTTTTGCATGGAAATATGTATTTTTTTTATTGTAGGCCTGTAATTTTTAGGAATAACTCACTGAAATCTGTCTGAACAAGAGTCTAGTAAACATCCCGGGGATGATAAAATTTGAAACACAAAATCATAAATTATAATATAATAAATAATCATAAAAAATAATAATATAATAATAATAAATTTAATTCAATAATATAATCAAACCAAAAACACTGAAATTTGAAATATAGCGCCAAGTTCGCACATCACTGAGCAAAGTCGCAAAATCGTTTTCAGTGTCTGTTGACGAATTTCCCCACGAATCATCACTCAATTCTGCAAGTGGTTCTGATTTACTATAGCAGTTCTCTAACTGGTCTAAAACTGATTTTGACCTAAAGGGACACTTTTTGGACGCCATGGACATTTCTCCGTTTCCAGGCAGAAAGAACAGTAAAAATGCAGACAGGGCACAGGACAAAGCACTCGGGACAAAATGTATGTGAAATGGTTTGATACAGTAATTTTATACTATGTGATTTTAGTGTATTTAGTGAATGTCACTTTTTCACCTTTTGAATTTCCCGCCGTTCCGTCCCCCATACATCCTGACGTCGCAGGGAACGGAGCCCAGATGACAGATGTTGGCATCGGCCGGAGGACATTGCCGGGAACACTGCAGGGGGGACATTGCGGGAGCGCAGGACAAGGTAAGTAAAGAAGGGATCCCGGAGCAGCGCCGCATGGTAAGCCAGAGTGTAGATCGGGGTTACCGCTTGTGGTGCTGAAACTTTACCCCGAGCTACACTCGGGAATACCGCCAGGGAGGTTAAAGCCCAACTCTAAAAATACCCCTTCACCCTGCACTGCTAGGCTAGGGACGGAAGGAATAACTAGAAATACTTGCTTTGTTTCTCACTCCCGCAGACTTCTTCCTCTAAATGTAACTGACCACCAAAGCCACCTCACTTTGCTGCCTGGCTGGTTGCAGCTCTCTGAGGCAATTACCAGGGATGAGCTTGGATTGGTCCGAAGTGGAAGTTGGTTGTGTTGATGAGCCAATGAGCTGAGAGCGGGTGTGAACAGGGTACATAGGAAACATGTTTTCTAAGGCCGGCCATACATGGATCGACTTTCGAATGATTTTTTGTTCGAAAATCGGACCTAAAAATAATTGGCTGATTTTCGCTCTGTTAGTGGGGCAATGGCACCGGCCGATTTTTTCGTGGTTCCTCCCCATTTTGTTTATCGCATGCTGGAAAATTCGTGAAAAACAACTGATTTTCGAAATCATTGGTGGCACCATCGGATTACAGAACAAACAATGTTTTAGATTTTCGATCAAAAAATAGTTCGGAATTCGACGCATGTATGGCCTGCTTTAGTGTCCTTGTGGTGAGCTTGTGTTGATCAAGGCTCGATGTACCTGGTGAGAACAAGTCCTAAATGGTGTTACTTGTCAAACGGGAAAAGGTTTATTTTCTTAGTGTCTTACAATGATACCAAAGCCTATTTTTTTTTTTAAATAACAAACATGTCATGCTTACCTGATTTGTGCAGTAGTTTTGCATACAGCAGCCTAGATCCTCTTTTTCTCGGGTTCCGCGTCGGCCATTCTGGCTCCTCCCCCCTGAGTACTGCCCCCATAGCAAGCCGCTTACTATGGGGGCACTGGTACATGCTAGTCCCTGAGCCCTGCTCTCTGCATCTATAAGCAGCAGCAGACCAGGACTTGGCCCCACCCCTCGTTTCCTCCTTATAGGCTGTGATTGACAGCAGCAGGAGCCAATGGCTCCCGCTTCTGTGTCTCAGCCAATGAGCAGGAAGCTTCCCAAGAAATCTCCTGTGCACACCGCTGGACCGAGATCAGGCTCAGGTGAGTATTAGGGGGGCTTGGAGGGCCGGTGCACACTGAAGGTTTTTCATCTTTATGCATACAATGCATGAATGTAAAAAACCATAAGCCTTTAGAACCACTTTAAAATGGTTCTAAAGTCTTAAGGTTTAACATTAATGCATTCTATGCATCAAGGTGAAAAAACTTTCTGTGTTGTAGCTCCCCCCCAGCCCCTCCTTTTCATTTACCTGAGCTTGATCCGATCCAGCGATGTACACGAGAGCGGCGGCTCTAGCTGCTGTCTCCATCCTCACTGGGCAGATTGATGGAAGTCAATCAAATTCTGTGACAAGGGAACGGATGGCGGATCTGAGCCGCCCACTGTGTGTCAATAGACGCAAACAGGGCCGCTCAGGAGTGAGCCGGCACAGGTGCCCCCATGGAAAGCTACTTTCAGTGGGGGCACCTGCCAAAAAAGGGGCCAAGATCTCTGGTGGGAGACCCCAGAAAAGGAGGATTGGGGCTGCTCTGTGCAAAAGCTTTGCACAAAGCAGGTAAGTATAGATGTATTTGTTATTGTAATTAAAAAAAAAAAACCTAAGGTTTAATATCACTTTAAGCCTCTGTTTATACCTGAGCATTTTGTTGCATGTTTCCTAAAGCGTGACAGTGCTGAACATGCAGAATCCCATTATTTCAAATGCTGCCTGTTGACATGGCCATTGTGATGTTTGTTGGAAAAAAAAAAGTACAGTATGTATTTGCTTTCCATTGGCCAAAACAAAAACACCCAAAGCTTGAAATGTGTGAAGACTCTTCAAAAAGCCTGTAGGACCAGTGCAGACAGAGCTTTGAAATCACTTGAACTTGATGTAGGAATGGAGGCTAAAAGAACAAATGAATTCTTAACCTCATTAACTTGGTCATACCTATCCATATGCCCATTCGAAGGGCCATCTTCAGCTCCCAGGCATGCGCAGGCAGCCAGCTACACAGCCCTTCATGGACCTCCACGCACATCCCAAGGTGTACATCTGCATGGGTCTGATGCACGAATTAATACGCGGTCTGTCTGTGCAGCCCGACTGCCTGCCATTGATTTCAACAGATTGTCTGCATGCAGCACCTGGGCATCCCGGGTGGCTGAAGATGGGTGTACAGATCGGAACACTCATGTGAATGCGGCCTTAGAAAACAATAGGGTTTTCTGTTCGAATCCCAACCACGGCACCACCTGCCTGGAGTTTGCATGTTCTCCCTGTGCCTGCGTGAGTTTCCTCCGGGTACTCCGGTTTCCTCTCACACTCCAAAGACATGCTGGTAGGTTAATTAGATCCTCTCTAAACTGGACTTAGTATGTGAATGTATGAATGTGAGTTACAGACCTTAGATTGTATGCCCCTTGAGGGTTAGGGACTGATGTGAATGTACAATATATACAGTATGTAAAGCGCTGTGTAAATTGACGGCACTGTATAATTACCTGAAATTAATAAATAAATATCACAAGAGCTGCAGTGGCTAAAGTAAGCTTAAAATGTATTAAATTCAATGTGGGATCATATTCTGTTCTGAGTGGCAGAAAGGCCTGGCAGCCCATATGCCGCCATAAAACATTCTTCCATCGAGTTCCTTTATTCAGCATGTGTCAGAAGGTTACAATTCTACACAGAACACCGGTGCTCTCACTATTGGCTCATTTGTTTCTACCAGCATGTAATATGAAATCGCAGGCATGTTACAGGTCTTTTATTATTGATAAATGATTCTTCTGCTCCTTGGTACAGTAAATCTCTCTTTATTATCCATAAATAAAAGGTTTACAATCTAATGCTTCTACAATGGCCATACGAATTTACACTGATAGGCCTATTTTATTGGGAGCCCACAAGGTTGTAGAGTACAGAGGGAATCCAGAGAACCCAGAATAAATATGCACTAACGTGGGAAACACAGAAACCGGAATCTGGTAGGATTTGAATTTAGGATCGCAGTGCTGCATGGCAAAAGTGATATACTGTGATAAGCTGTAATGTGATGTTGCCTACCTCCTTATCCACCCCCTTCGAGTGTCTAAAACAGGGGTAACAAAAAACAACACCTCCTGCGCTCTATGACCCAGATCAAGGGTGGATAGATGGACACGAAACTTGAAGAAATTCACCACCAAAGCATCAAAGGTTGTGTGGCTCTAAACAAGGCTGGGGAAGCCCGACCAATACTGTAAAGCCAAACAAAAAGCGCACCAACCTTGAGCATTACCTCAGTAAAATGTGATTTTATTGAATTGTAAAAATCTAAAACGGGTCTCTAAACTTGATAAAACAAAGGACCAGTTTAATGTCCTTCAGATTTTAGGAGGGCCAGACTGTTAGCAGTGGGAGTAGAAAATACTCCATCATTGGTTTTAGTTGGAGGAATAGTGCCCCGTTGTTGTTATCTTTGGGAATAAACGTGCCCCATTATTAATATCAGTGGGAGGAATAGCACCCTGTGATTGGTGTCTGTGGGAGGAACAGTGCCCCATCATTGGTGTCAGTGGGAGGAACAGTGCCCGATCATTGGTGTCAGTGGGAGGAACAGTGCCTGATCATTGGTGTCAGTGGGAGGAACAGTACCCTATCATTGGTGTCAGTAGGAGGAACAGTGCCCCATCATTGGTGTCAGTGGGAGGAATAGTGCCCTATCATTGGTGTCAGTGGGAGGAATGTTGCGCCAACATTGGTTTCAGTGGGAGGAATGGTGCGCCAACGTTGGTGTCAGTGGGAGGAATGGTGCGCCATCATTAGTGTCAGTGGGAGGAATGGTGCGCCAACATTGGTTTCAGTGGGAGGAATGGTGCGCCAACATTGGTTTCAGTGGGAGGAATGGTGCACCATCATTGGTATCAGTGTGAGGAATGGTGCGCCAACATTGGTTTCAGTGGGAGGAATGGTGCGCCAACATTGGTTTCAGTGGGAGGAATGGTGCACCATCATTGGTATCAGTGTGAGGAATGGTGCGCCAACATTGGTTTCAGTGGGAGGAATGGTGCGCCAGCATTGGTATCAGTGGGAGGAATGGTGCGCCATCATTGGTTTCAATGGATAGAAAAATTGCTTCAAGGGCCAGATAAAGGCAAGCAAGGGTCCACATCCGGCCCCTGGGCCGCAGTTTGGAGACCACTGGTCTAAAATGTTAAGGCCTCATGCACACAGGGAATTTTCTTAGCTCTTCTAGAAGCTTTTTCACTTGGCAGCAGTGCTTTTAAAAAAAAAACAAAACATTTGTTATGTGTTTAGGCGCATTTAGCCACGTCAAGCATTTTGGGCATTAATTCATTTATTGGCCAGAAAATGAATCACTGTTCAAGCGCTAAATGTTCCTAGCATTAATGCACCTTTAAACACATTTAGAATCACCAAGCGTTTTTTCTGCCAAAACCGCTGCTCCAGGATGCATTGGCAGTGAGGTTTTTTTTCTCTAAACTCTCAAGCCACTAAACACCTCTAAAATGTATATATGTATGGACACATAGGCTAACATGCAGGGGAGTTTAGAGGCAGGAAAAAAAACACCAAATGCCCCTAGGAACAGCTGTAAAAATGTCCAGTGTCCATGAGGCCTAGGTTCACACTACTACGACCTGAAAGTCGCGTGAGTTACAGTGCGACTTTGCCAGGCAACTTGGGTACTACTTTGAACTCTGAAGCAACTTTCAGGGAATGCCTAGGTAATCTTCCTGCAATGTCAGATCCAAATCACATCAATATAGATGAGGATCCGACTTGGAGGCAATTTCCATTAAAGTCTATGGGCACAAGTCGGATAGAAGTCACCTTGAAGCAGTACAGGAACCTTTTCTAAAGTCTGAGCGACTTAAGTAGTGCTAGTTAAGACAGCACGCATTGACTAACATGGGATTTCACGTCATGTGACTTGAGGGGGTCTCACAATTCGGATCCCAGTTTGCGACAGTGTGAACTGAGTCTTAAGGTATGTTTATCTTTCTGAAA